ACACACACACACACACACACACACACACACATATATATATATATATATATATATATAATTATAAACGCACACACACTCACTGTCTCTCGCTCTCTCTCTCTGTATCAGTGTGTAAAGCTTCATTCTTCCCTGCAGAACCACATGAAATCTAATCAACTCCTCATTCTCTTTTCAAAACAATATTCATCCCACTTTCCGTCACAGAGCTGTCACTGTGTGTGTGAACAAGTGTGCGTGTCCATACGTGTGTGCATTTGTGTTTCATAATGCAGTGCAGAATTTCTCCTTTTGGCACAAGTCGTCTGCTCCCCTGTACTGCGGAGAGGGAAATAGTGTGTGAGAGAAGGAGAGAGAGAAACAGATGGAGAAACAAAGAGAAAACAGAGAAAGGAACAGGAAAAAAGGGGATGCTTGGATGGAAAACAAAAAGATGGAGAAGAAGATGAAACTGAAGGTGGAAATTAAAATCTATGACAGATAGATGGATGCTGAAGTATTCTGACTGGTTGTTAAGCATTGCTAGGGTGTTCTAGCTGGTTGCTAGGCATTGTTAGATGTCTTAGCTGGCTGCTAGAATTTTCTGAAAGCGATCTGGCTGTTTGTGCCAGTTGCTAAGGAGTTCAAACCATTCCAAGGGTGTTCCAGCCATAGTTATGTATATGTAGATGTCTTATTAGTTGCTGTTTCTATGGGCTGCTATACATAAGCCGTCTGCCATATTGTCCGTGAACACTCGAGAGCAAGCTGACTGTGCGTCTGCAACCTTGGTTATATGCACGTATATCTATATCTGCAACAGACTTCAGCAGATGATTTTGCTAAACTAACACAACACAACAAGAAGAAGCCGTTAGCTAACACAATGTTAAAAACTTAACCTGTAATATTGAATTAATATATAGTAAAAACACAAACCAATGCATTCTCACCTATGAAAGTTTATCCCATTTCTTAAGGAATTTATATGTAGTCATTTTTTACAACCAGAGGCTGTGCAATGTCGAGCCATCTTGGAAAACTCAGATTTTTATTGTGAGTGATGACACATTTACTGTTACAAGATGACGGACGCTTTAACGTGTCTGAAACGGCCGATTGTGGCAGCTACCTATACATAGACCATATCTATGGTTCAAGCTGATTGCTAGGCATTGCTCAGGTATTGTGGGTGGTCTCTAGGCATTGCTAAGGTGTCTTAACTGGCAGGTGTTAGATGCTAGACATGGTTAAGTGGTTGCTAAACAAATTCATACAGCTAGATGAGAGAGACAGACATCTAAATAGATGAATGACAGCCACCATTTAAATAAAACCATTAATATTTCTGCAATGAATTGGAGTAGAAACATTATTATAGCATTAAAAAGTTTATATAAAAGCTGCTGTATGTGAAATTTAGATGTTTGCATTTTTATTTGAGTGTTGATTATTATATATATAACATAATTTTAATTTTAGAGGTAATTTTAACCTCTAATATTACAGTGATGTACCATCTGACAGGATTCTTTATATATTTTACAGCATTAGTTGAGAGATTTTTTTGCTTAAAAAAGCTGACCTACTACACCTGATATATTTGGAGATAGATAGATAGATAGATAGATAGATAGATTAGACTTAATTAGTATTACAAATTACTTAATCTGCATATGTGTGTGTGCAAGAGACAGAGAAAATGTGAGGCTAAAACTATTATTTTGCATAATATAGTACATCATGTGTTCTTGTGAATGGCCTGGTGAAACAAGGAGGCAAGGTCAGCTCTAAGGACATCATCGTGTCCTGTGATTGGTCGAGCCGCCTGTCTGTCATTGAGGATGCTGAGCTGAGTGAGTCTGGAAGTGGGGGAGGGGGTGGGAACTCTTCCAGAAGGACGAAGAGTTCTCCAATCACAGTGGGACGCGGTGTCATTGCTTCTGCTGTTTCTCAGGTTACAGCCTCATTAACTCGCGTTTCCGCAGCTACGTACCACTATCTTGAGTGTGTTTGTGTGTGATGCTGTAATCAGGTCAGGCAGCTCCTCAGAGCTACAGAAATCAGGTTCGGGAAATACTGGCAGCCATCTTAGTTCAGCCAAACAAAAAAAAGTGCTAAAAATAAAAAAACTTTCTCCTGCAAAACATGCCATGTCTGACAATATTTCTGACAAGAGGAAACAAATTGTATTTTTTTAATTGTTAATTTGCTTAATTTTTGATGTACTGTAGCAAAGTTTGTAGTGCTAAAGAGATTTCAAGACAAATTCAGAGCCCTCCATCACGGAAAATAATTAAGGATAATATGAAACTTATGAACTTATAAATTTGAGGTAATAAAATTCCATGACTTTTCCAGGTTTTTCATGACCGTACGAACCCTGTTAAGGGGTTGCTAAACAAAGTCATAGCTAGACAGACAGAAAATCAGACAGACAGACAGACATCTAGATAGATGGATGACAGTCACCATTTAAATAAAACCATTTATATTTCAGCAATGAATTGGAGTAGAAACATTATTATAGCATTAACAAGTTTATATAAAAGCTGCTTTATGTGAAATCTATATGTTTGTATTTTTGAGTGTTGATTATTATATTTAAAGCTAAATAGCAACTAAAATTACTCTGTTGGTAATTTTAACTTCTAATATTACAGTGATGTATTAACTGACAGCAGTAGTTTACAGCAGTAGTTGAGATAGATTTTTTTTTCTTAAAAAAACGACATACTGCACCTGATATATTTGGATAGATAGATTGGAATTAAATCAAGACCTTGTAAATAAGAATTGCATCGAATCATAAAATCTGTGTCAATACTCAATACCCTGACAGATGAATGGCCTGGTGAAACAAGGAGGCAAGGTCAGCTCTAAGGACATCATCATGTTCTGTGATTGGTCCAGCCGCCTGTCTGCCATTGTGGATGCTGAGCTGAGTGAGTCTGGAAGTGGGGGAGGGGGCGGGAACTCTTCCAGAAGGACGAAGAGTTCTCCAATCACAGTGGGACACGGTGTCATTGCTTCTGCTGTTTATCAGGTTACAGCCTCATTAACTCACGTTTCCGTGGCTACGTACCACTGTCTAAGAGTGAGCGTGTTTTTGTGTGATGCTGTTATTGCTCTCAAGTCAGGCAGCTCTTCAAGGCTACAGAAATCAAGTTCAGGAAATACTGGCAGCCATCTTAGTTCAGCTTTAAAAAAAAAAGTGCTAAATATAGAAACTTTTTCCCACAAAACATGCCACATCTGACAATATTTCTGATACACATTGGCATCACAGATGAAACATATAGTAATTTTTATTATTGTTAATTTGCTTAGCTTTTGATGTACTGTAGCAAAGTTTGTGGTTGCTCGAGAGATTAGATTTGAATCAATTCAGAGCCCTCCATCAATGAAAACGATTAAGGATTATATGAAACTTATGAATTTATTAATTTGAGATAATTAAAGGGTTAGTTCACCCAAAATGAAAATTCTGTCATTAATTACTCACCCTCATGATGTTCCAAACCCCTAAGACCTTCGTTCATCTTCAGTACACACATTAAGATATTTTTGATGAAATCCGAGAGCTTTCTGACTCTGCATAGTTCAAGGCCCAGAAAAGTAGTAAGGACATCGATAAAATAGTCCATGTGACATCAGGGGTTCAACTGTAATGTTATGAAGCTATGAGAATACTTTTTGTGTGCAAAAAAACTAAAATAATGACTATTCAACAATTTCTTCTCTTCCTTGTCAGTCTTCAACACGCATTCACGAGAGTACCACGATGCATGCGTGTGGTGCTGCTGATGCAGGAGCCTGTGTTTTATTATTTGCACTAATCATATTCCTTATAGATGTTCATTTTCCAAAAACACTGATGCATTAATAAAAAGAGACATCTAGAATTCTAAATTCTACAATGACCTGCATAACTGCAAAATAGATCCTAGATTTCTGACACAGCTGTAGTCCTGAAACAAAATCCTGAAGAACAGGGAGAGAAAAGAAAGCATGTTCCAGATTGCACAGAAAGCAGAATTAGACTCTCCTTCTTCAAACTGAACAGAACAAGTAAACGTCTGACAATTCAAAATCAAACGCACAACACGAAAAGACATAAAACTTTGACTTGACTTAGTGAAGCAAAAAACATTTTCTACATAGCAACACAGAATATTCAACATATACACATATTCCCATGCATCCGCTGATGAATCTAATTCATTGCAGGATTCAGATTATAAAAAGCTATTTCACTCAAGAGATTGGTTTGCATGTTTGATATGGTCCACTGAAATTGCCCGAATAAACCTTTAAAAAATGCTGGCACTGAAGTACCAGAACCACGTTAATCACAAATTTCACAAAAGGCCTGGAGATACATAAGAGTCACACCCACATAGAGTAGCCGAGACACAGCTAATTTCCACTGGCATTTACAGATCAAGAAAAGAAAAAAATGTATTACAATTACGGATATTATGTAATACCATGACATTAGACTTTCCGAACCCAAGATCTGACACAAATATACAGTGGGTACGGAAAGTATTCAGACCCCCTTAAATTTTTCACTCTTTGTTATATTGCAGCCATTTGCTAAAATCATTTAAGTTAATTTTTTTTCCTCATTAATGTACACACGTGTTTTTCTGTCAATATGGGGTACTGTGTGTACATTAATGAGGGAAAAAAATTAACTTAAATGATTTTAGCAAATGGCTGCAATATAACAAAGAGTGAAAAATTTAAGGGGGTCTGAATACTTTCCGTACCCACTGTACATACAAATATAAATACAAATGAAAAACAGCGTGGAAAGCTTGCCTTTATTTTGTAACTAGGTTAAACTTTTTGCATTAAAAATGTTGAATATACATCCTAAAATGTCTGTTTGTTTAAAATGCTGATCTTTATGCCTGATTAAAAAAAATCACAATTGTGTGCCATTTCAGAATGAATGTATAAATATATAGATATATTAATCTAATATTTTCAAAAGGCTGACATATATTGGGATATTTTTAGCTATATTTCCAAGCCCTATGCACATACATTGAAAAGAACTCTATTAACAGAACCATTATTTCTTGCCACATGCCAAGCTTTTTTAAAAGCATAATTGATTGCTGCCTGAAAACTGATTGTTGACTTTAATCATTCCAGTAAAAGCACTTCTCCTCTAGGCAAGCTCTGACACAGAAGTAACAGAAAATAAACAGGAGTGACATTTAAAATCAGCTTGAATAAAGTTTAGCTTAATTATTACAAAGTAGTGCAGTCAGCCTAAAGGCTACAGAGTTTAGAATCTTACATCATCTATTCCTTGGTGAACTGTAAATAGCAAACTTCAATAGTGATACATGGAAAGAAACATGAGAAGAGAAAACAAGGCCAAAACTGAAAGAAAGCAGGCCCACGACATCTAATAAACCATTCAGAGTGTTGTAATTCAGAGTATTGTGGTACAAATCCACCACAAGAACACAGTGACGAATCAGACAGCAACAAGGCATTTGAGATATTATTCATCAAATCATCAATGCAGCAAAATGCATCTAAAAATTTCTAGTCTGAGCTGGATTGTTTACCACTTACAAACACACTATTCACTCAGGACAGAAATCTTTGTGGCAGAGACCCTTCACTTGTGTTTAGTTGTTCTGGCCATCACAACCATAATGTAAAACAAACAAAGAGAAAACACACTTGCATTGGTCAACACTACCACATACTACCTCTGTCCACACAGCATCTATGATCTACCATAAAAACACACACACATATGCCAATCCATGGATTCGAAACAGTAGCAGATAATGAATTCATATTTTGCACAGTTTAACTTTTGGTTTCTGTTTTCTACATAATTTTGAGACAACTTAGCACATGTGAAACATTTAGCACATGTCAGTGAGACTGTTCGTCAGCTTTCCACCTACTGTCAGCATGAAAGAAGAACAGTAGCAGCGTCTATGCAGTCATACAGTGACACACGATGCATCATGTCACATGGTCCCTTGCCATTTTCTGCGATCAGCAATACTAGCAGATATGCCATTAATACCCCCATACCTTTAAACTGATTTACATACTAATCATATTAACGTCCCTGCCATCACACATGGTGCTGTATGGTTTGAGATGTGTACAGTGCCATTCAAAACCCAGTCTTTACACTTCATCTGCACCAGGATATCCTGTTGTGTATCAGGCAATGATAAGCAATCTTTCAGGTCAGCATGTACCAGATCTGAACAGGTCACCTGGAAACAATTGTATTGCAGAGCACCAGAGACCAACTGAAACTGAACATGTTATACAGCATTTAATGGCAAGTGATATTACTAAGATGTGAATATACATGTAGATGTGAAGACAGTGTGTGGTTGCATCAGGACATTAAGGACAGCGGCGGATCTTTCTTTTCCAAAGGCCTTGTCTATCCACTACTGCTCTTCATTTCCACTATCAAGCTTTCAACGACCCCATTATCACCAAAGATTTTCTCATTTACACTACCAAGGTTTTGTGTAAGAATATCAGCTTCATCTTGACTCTCAGCTCAGCTCAACCAGTACAGAATCCAATGAACACTGGAGTAAACATGTCTCCTACCACCACCCGAACACTAGCCCAGAAAATGTTTTAGCCAATCTTAAATGGGAACACCAAAAATTCTACAATTGTAAAATTCTAGTTGATACAATAAGCTGATAATTGGCTCATAACCAATAGATGGCAGGCCAATAACATGCTAAAATCTAAAATCAACAGTTGACATAAATGTCAGATCAGTGTTTTGGTGTTTAAGTGAATGTAAACATCACAACATTTCAATTTACAATATGAAATATGGATAATTTTGAGAATATGAAACCGTCCTTCAAGAAAGTGTGCTCTAATCTTAGCCGTATCGTAGTGTTATATCTATAAGTTAGCATTAGATAACAGCAAACGTAGCCTAAAAATTAAGAAAAAAAGAAAAATAACTGGTATATAGTAAAAAAATTTAGCATCTATAACTAAATATGCATTACCCTTTGAATTTTATTTAACCTTGGCATTTGGAAGTACTTATTTAGCACTTTTATTTGATGTTGTTTAGAACAATGGTCAACTATTGTTGTTTTTATTGTGCTTTAGAAATAAAATGGTTGGTTGATTGATTGATCTCTTAATTTACTGACATATCATACTAAATGTATTTGTTGTTAAATACAGAATAATAAAAAACAGAAAGAAGAAATCCTGCACACTGCCATGTCTCTGCTTTTAGATGCCGGATGAAGGTTGCATAATCGAAAATTTGCTGTTTCAACAGACATTGGATTTCCTGCAGTCTACTACAATTTTGGGATTTTTTCTTATCTCAACATTGGTTTAAGAAAAAAAACATGCCTAATTACAGAGGACACTAGTTCACTCCTTTCCAAATAAACATCCCAAAGTCTTTACCTATATGCCAGAATCTGTCCTCAGTCCATCGTCAATCAATCCCAAATTTGTTCTAAAACCATTCTTAGCCAACCTATAGTCAAGCATTCACCTCAAATCTATTTGCCGTTCATCCTTAATCAAGGCCAAATGTCCTCAACTAAACCACAACCAAAGCAGCCCATTAATAACCAATTTTCAATCAATCCAAATCCTTTTCTCAATTCATTCTCCACCAGTCCTGAATCTTTCCTGAACAGATCCTGAATCTGTCCTCAACCCATTCTTACCTAATGCTGTATCTTCAGTCAGTCTTAACTGAAGTCTTATTTCATTCATACTTTTCATGCGCTCTAAATTCAACCGAGAATCCATACTGGCTCAGTAATGTTTCACACAATTCCACAGCATTTACATTTATTAACCAAGAGAAAGTCACCAAGGCTGCATTTACTTGCAGTAAAGTACAGTAAAAAGTCAAAAGTACAATAAAAACAGTAATATTGTGAAGTATTATTACAATTTAAAACAAAATAACCGTTTTTAATATATTTAAAAATGCAATTTATTCCCGTGATGGCAAAGCTAAATATTCAGCAGCTATTACTCCAGACTTCAGTGACACATGATCCATCAGAAATCATTCTATATGCTGATTTACATTTCTTCTTATTATCAATGTTTAAAACAGAATCTTTTGTAACATTATAAATGTCTTTTCTGTCACTTTTGATCAATTTAATGCATCATAGCTGAATAAATATATTTCTTTCCAAAAAAAAATATATATGTAAAAAATGTTATAAACCTATATTTATATCCTTATAAATTTATATATATTTACAAAGAAACTGTGCTCATATAGCCAATGTGTTGAAGATGACTTGGAGCCCATGCAGTTCCCTGAAGAGCACCTTGTGTAAGTAGTGCCCACCTGTATATTAATTTTTCCCTCCCTTTCACCATCCCATTTCTTTCATTTCATCCTTTGTGACTCACCTGTTCGATCTTGGCCAGCCATTCTTTGTTGCGGGCCAGTTCAGCCATGAAGGCCTGGTGCTTCATCCATTTCCTGTGCAGCTTCTGAGCTTCATCTCGAGCTCCATCGCGAGCTGTCAGCATCCTATCAGCCTCTGGGAGCTCTGCTCAGCTACACCATACACACACACACATGCACAGAGCAGTCAGCAGACAGCTATGACACAGACATGTTCTGTCACATTCTTTTAGCCATCATTTCCACACACACACAGCACTAGGCCCCATACACTCAACATCAATACAACACTGCAGCACCACGAAAAACCTCTTCACCTGCACCACCAGCACACACACGCATCCCAAAAATGTCCAGAGCAGAGGAGAGAGCAGCACCTCAGCAGAATGTGCAGCAGCAGTGGGGTCTGGAGCTCAGGGGTGGGGGATCCACTGGGTCCTCATGTCCTCCAGGTTAGCGTCCAGGCCCCTGCAGTTCTGCTGCAGTATCCATGCGTCAGTCCAACAGCTCAGAAAAAACAACCGGTACGCATGCACACGCAAGACACCCACTGAAAGCGCTTGGTCTCCTACAGAAATCTTCAATGGTGATCACACTAGCTGTTTCCTGTAAAAAAATCACTACATCATAATCCTTCAAGTGACACAAGAAGCAAAAGCCACGTCTTCGCCTGCTTGCCTGTGTGCGTCCGCGTCAGGGGCGAAGCTCTGGTCTCAGCGCTGCGTCCGGAATCGCTACGCCGTCCTGCTGTCGACCTGGGTGGATGGGGGGTTCGGAGGAGGAGTGGGAGGAGTCGCTGATGTGCGTGTATGTTGTGGGGGGGGGCAGCAGATTTAGACACCTAAAGACACAAGTTGCCCTCTTTGAATGAGCTCATGCACTTGCAAACATCGTGCTACGGAGGATGCGATGGCTGAATGGATGCACATGTGTGCTTTTGTGGGCAGATTCTCATGTGATCTAGTGTGATTGCAATGCAGCATGCTGCAGTCTCTCTCTCTCTCCCTGTCAGCGCAGAGAAAACCGCCTCAATCCTATCAACAGACTTTACTGCAGTGCCTCAGAGTGAGGGAGGGAGGGAGGGAGGGAGGGAGCGAGAAAGAGGGAGAGGCAGAGAGAACGAGAGAGAGAGAGGGAG